AATGATCTTTGGGGTAATTCTGTTATGCTAATGGCTAAAAGCCTAGTTCTTATAAGGGGCATTAGGTGGTTAGATGCTGGGGACTGATACTTAAATGGTGTTGGTCTTAATTCTTGTTCTCCAGATTAAAGAGTGTGCTGAAAAGGTGGAACTGGCTTGTGGTAGGAAGGCAGGAGGAGCAGCTGATAAAAAGGAAGGCAAAACTCTTCCTGGAAAGACCCCAGTTGTTTCAGGGGCTGCTGGAGACAAGGATACAAAAGAGACTTCAGCTAAATCAGGACCACCAAAAAAAGCACCTGTTGTCAAGGTAGGAGGGATATAGACAGCCTACCTTAGCAAATTGTTATAAGAGAGAGTTACTCCCTGGGAACCTGTTCAAATTGTTTCTAGTTGCAGTCTTTTGGGAGTCAAGGTAATCCCAGCAAGCATTCTTGTTCTTGCTGCTTGTGGGGGGTGCTACTATGCTGAGCCACCTGCTTCACTGTGCCTGACCATAACCATGTTTCGGGTGTTTCTCCCGGGGCACCTGTGTCCGGCTGACCCCCTTACTGGAGCACATCCACAAGCCTGGGTTAATCGCTGCCACCACCCAGGCTCCGTTCTCTGTTAGGGCTCTGTGCACCCCAGGGTACACAGACAGTGCAGACCTTGGGGGTGCTTGGCCCACTGTGGTATTTTGGGTGCTGCTTTTAGCCTGAAGCATTCAAAAGTAGCCTACTGCACTGGAGGAAAGTAAAAAGCCAAGCCTACTTTAACTGGCCAAACAAAGGGAGCTATAAAGGCTTGTCTCGCCCTTCTCCCCTCAGATGCACAGCCAGGCATGCTGCAACAGATAACTTTTTATTAATCAGAGGGGGAGAACGGGGAAGGGGTACAGGACAAATCTTCAAAGAAAATGCCTTTAGCAAAACAGAATGGTCTTGTTGGCCATTTTTAATACGTGGCTGAAGTTACATAGATCTAATTTTCTAGCTAGTCTTCAGGCGTACTCTCTGATTCATGCAGATGGCAGCCTAAGGTCCCTGCTTGAAGGTGTTCCAAGATGCCTGCCAAAGGAAGAGCTCCCCCCAAACCAGGTGGCCTGATCCTTAAATAACTTTTCTAAACTCATCACCTGGTGCCAGCCAGAAACAGGCATTATTTGAACCCTGCTATCGCAGACCAATCATTTCAAAAGTTGTCAGCAATCTCTGGTGAAGTGACTGGAGTCACTCAACTGGTTTCCCTCCAGAGAACCTGTGGAACTTAAGACGGAGTTTCTGGAGACAATAAGGGGGGGGTGAAAGAACGTCCCATACAGCACACACAAGATACACGGCAAAATAAATCCAGAAACACTTGACTACACACAACCCCGGGTGTGTGTTACATTCTCTCTCCAGCCCAAAATGTCCCAGTCCAAGGACAGATAGAGGGAGACTTCTTCACGCTGCTTATGCAGCAGAAGGTTTAAAAAGGATGCAGTCTGGACTCTTTCAGAAAGCAAACTGGTGTGGAATGAGGATTCTATTCTTACATCTTCTAAATCCCAATATTTTTTTTGTAATGCCAGGTACTGATTTAGGACCCAGCTAGACAAAACCTTGGTTGGGATGATATAGTTGGGAGTGGTCCTGCTTTGAGCAGGGGGTTGGACTAAATGACCTCCAGAGATCCCTTCCAGCCCTAATTTTCTATGATTCTGTAATTTTGAAACCCTGAAGACAACCCACCCAATACCTTCCTCAGAGGTTTTTGAACTGTATAAGCAAGAAAACATCCAGGCATGTTGGTGTAGGACCGGCACATAAGAATTCATAGCACATTCAACACCAGTATTGCTTTTGCAATAAAGCATAATCTGCAATGTTGCTTTAATGCCTTGACTACCAAGTGCTATTTAAAACTGCTAATCTGGTTAAGGAAATCAAGATGACTTTCAAATTTTAAAAAGGTTTCCAATAGTAGACCATCTTCACAGTGTCCTTCAGGCATCTTTTTCTGGCCAAGCAGAGAGTTGGGGATTCTAGGAACAAATATAAACATGGCATTCAAATGTTTGGTTTAACATTGTAATGAAAAATGCTTTCTTCTAGGCCTGACAAACTTGGAGCGTATCATCTATAATCTCCAAAGGAAATAGAATCGCTTGTCTCTTGTTCCATGACCCTTCTCAAGCAAATGTAAACCCTTTTTACACTGTCTTTTAAATTCTCTCCAGAATTCTCCCCATCTGCTAAGACTTGCTGCTGTTGAAATTACACACAAATGACTTGACCACTTTGCTTGTTAATCCAGTTACAATTGGTATATAGCAAAGTTTCCTTCTATGAAGAAAGACTTCAATTACTTAAATGTATCTTTTGGAATTGGAGCCAAAGATTGAAAAGCAAGACTCCCTTCTTCTGACTTACAAATATTGTTTCTTAACTGAGAGCTTTATCTTGGTTGACTTGTTTCCTTTTCAGCCTGGTGGACCACCCAAAAAAGGCAAACCAGCAGCAACTGCTGGTATGGGAGGTGCTGGAACTAAAGGCAAGAAAGGACCTGAGACTAAAGAGATATTTGAGTCTGAGCTCTCGGTAGGTACTTTTCTTCACTGTGAAATACAAAAGGGAATGCTGTGTCTTGTAAGTGATGCAAATTATTCTTCTCTGCATCTTGTAGGATTTATGGCCCTCAAGTTGCGATTCCTACATTATACCAGAGTAAAGCAGTGCATTCAAATTGGTGGGACAGAGGAACTGTTTCATTTGACCCTGAAGTTTTAAGATGGGGCAGGTTCTGGTAAACAAGCCATTATCAAATCCCTATTTGGGTAACATTTGAGGTCTTTTGCCTCTCAGGGAAACTGAGTTGCCAGAAGGATGGAGGAGGCTGAAATGTCCACAACAGTGCTTTTGAAGTTGCAAATTATATTCAGTTGCATATCTGGAGTTAAGTCTGGGAAACAGAGTATTCTGGAGCTTGACTCCCACAGTCCAGATGAGCAAAGCAGTGGAGTATATACTGTTCAGACGAAATTGTGAAACTCATGCTTTCCAGAGTACATTACCAATTCTAAGTCATCCTTTTAGTTTTCTTAATGTAGTAGTATGCTGATGCTGAAGTTAGAACCCACAAGTAAGCTGTATACATGCTGAGCAATGATAAAAGTCAATGAAACAATTATTATGTGTGTGTTTTCAATTATGGATATTCTGACATCAAGCTGGGGGAGTGGTAGATACACTGGAGGATAGGGCTAGGATTTGTTGACCTAGACAAATTGGAGGATTGGGCCAAAAGAAATCTCATGAGGTTCAACAAGGACAAGTGCAAAGTCCTGCTATTAGGACCGAACAATCCCATGGACTAATACAGGCTAGAGGCTGACTGGCTGGGTAGCAGCTCTGCAGCAAAGGACCTGGGGTTACAGTGGACAGTAAGCTGAATATGAGCCAGCGGTGTGCCCTTGTTGCCAAGAAGGCTAATGGCATACTGGGCTGCATTGGTAGGTATATTGCCAGTAGGTCAAGGGGAAGTGATTATTCCCATCAGTTCAGCACTGGTCAGGCCACATCTGGGGTACTGTGTTCAGTTTTGGGCCCCCCACTACAGAAAGGATGTGGACAAATTGGAGAGAGACCAGTGGAGGGCATCAAAAAGAGTGAGGGGGCTGGGGCATTTGACTTATGAGGGGAGGCTGAGGGAACTGGGCTTATTTAGTCTGGAGAAGAGGAGACAGAGGGGATTTAATAGCAGCCTTCAGCTACCTGAAAGGGGGGGGGGGGCGTTCAAAAGAGGATGGAGTTGGACTCTTCTCAGTGGTGGCAGATGACAGAACAAGGAGCAACAGTCTCAAGTTGCAGCAAGGGAAGCTTTAGATTAGATATTAGAAAGAATTTTCTCACTGGGAGAGTAATAAAACACTGGAACAGGTTACTCAGAGTGGTAGTAGAATCTCCATCCTTGAAGGCTTTCAAGACCCAGCTAGACAAAGCTTTGGGTGAGATGATCTATTTGGGGATAGTTCTGCTTTTGAGTATGGGATTGGATTAGATGACCTCCTGAAGTCCCTTCCAACCCTAACTTTCTATGATTTCTATCATTGTCAGGTTCTGAAATGAAGGCATTTCTCCAAGTTTAAAATGTTGTACATATGTTACTGTGTCACTTACATATGCAGTCTTAGTAGGAGGTACAGATATTGGTGGAAACCAATTTGATGATGGTAGCTACTTCCCATGCACCAAAACAACCTTGCAATCTTATGCCCCCTTGCCTAGGATGCCTGGGAAAATATTAATTTTTCTCATTACCAAGTGTGGGTAAATGGATTGGATTTTGAAGCTGGGTAAGTATTCATGGCAGTGTAGCAAATCTGGGCTAAAATTTGCATAACCCTAAAACTAAATGCGAGTAACACAGGATTTTCTTTTTTTCTTGTGCCTGCTTAACTTCATTTGGCAGTTATGCACAACAACTAATCTTTCCTATATCCTCTAACAGCCTAACTATCCTGAAACTCGCAGGCCCCAAAAAGTTTTACTTGCATTGGTCCTCTCCATTAAGGTAAAGCTGTTAATTACATGGCTGACTCCTGTATTGCAGGCACTTTGAGAGGTGGTATTTCTGTCTCTGACATGCAATTAAACCTGTATCTGATTTGAGAGGGCCTGTTGACAGGTGTTTAACCCTGTTCTGTTCTGTATGTAGATAGAAGTGTGTGAAGAGAAAGCTGCAGCTGTTCTCCCAGGCTCTTGCATACAGCAGCTGGATAGTGGTAACTGGAAGGAGAGGCTTGCCTGTATGGAGGAGTTTCAGAAGGTATGCATTAGAAGGTGAAAAGATAAAGATGGCTTTTAGAAGCAAGCATGAAACTAGGGAAGACAGTGTCTTTCTGCAGCCTTTTAGAGCTTGCCTCCCCTTTTAAAAAAAAAAAAAAAAAAAAAAAAAGTGTGTGTGTATTAGTAAATAAATAATAACAAACCTGCTTAGTGGAACAGGCAGTGTATGCTGGCAAAGAACACTTGCTGATATAGTTTTAATCAGCTTTTTGAACAAAATAACTTTTAACAGCAAAGACTTTTTTTTCTTTTAGTATAACTTTGTGTATATTAAGATTTTTGTTGGCATAACACTGACTTCTTCCAACTCCTGATGAGGGTAGCTGTGCTAGCAAAATTTGTGTAGGGCAAGTCTGAATCAAACGTGTTGTCCTGACCTGGAAATGTGTGCCACAGTCTCTACAAAAATCTCGTATTGTTCAATGTTCAGCACCAGTTTTAAATGCAAAACCCTGGCTGGCAAACTTGTAGGTCTGTACGCACCATCTGATTACACCATATTACATCAGCCTCCATAGCTGCTGATGAGAACCCCAGTGTCTCTCTTGAAAGAGCTCAAACAAAGCATCATGTACAACAAACAGCTCTATTTAGTATGGAGCCTGGCTTTTTTCCATTAAAGCATTTCTGCCATGTGACCCCTTTTAACTGTGAGTTTTGCACTTAAAAGCAGGTACTCCAGATGCACAAATAATTGATGCATTTGTATTACAGTTGTCATTGAGCTTTAGCATTAGCCATAAAACATGCTTAACTGAAATCATATGGTTTATATACCATGCATGGCTGTACTTCATTATCGCAAATATGAATCAATGTTGAACTTTTATCCAAATGTTAAGACATCAGGATTTCATTGGACTGCAGATTTTCTTTCTGGATCATTTTAGACTTTTAAATGTTTGCTTAATAGACTTAATTTTAAGATGTCTGTGTTTCTAGTCTTTTATAGGGAGGTGTCTGCATTTTCAATTTAAGCAACATTGGCTATTTGATAATGGCAAAACTCAGTTGTGCTCCCATGACAACTGTTGCCACTAAAGAAGAGCTGTTAGGCACAGCTGCTTATATATCTGTATACATTTATTAAAGGAAATAAATACGAACAAGTTAAATGGCAGTTTGAACTGTTTCACTTCAGTATGGGTCCAGTAGCTATAAAACTGAAACCAAGTTCTAGTCTTGTGTGGTAAGGTTTCTTTCTGGTAGTTACTACTTACTGAGGAATTGTATTGTGTAGATGCAAGTCTCAGGTGTGCAGTATCTTGATTTACTATGAAGTTTAAACCCTTTGTAGATGAGCCCAGAATTGTTTAAACTTGTTTCACAGTTGTTTAACAATTTGTTCTCCATATTTGGCATCTAATGGCTAATTTGATTTGCATTTTTCAGGCTGTAGAACTAATGGAAAAAAATGAAATGCCTTGCCAGGCTCTAGTGAGGATGCTGGCCAAGAAACCTGGGTGGAAGGAAACCAACTTTCAGGTGAAATTTCATTTTTACATCATTGATTGCAGTTCCTTGCTGGAACAGTCTTGCATTTGCCCATTATTGTAAAGCTTCTTCATACCTAAAAAATGTAGAACATAAGCTGTAAGTAAACCTCTGCTGGTTATTTTGGAGCTTAGCTACTAAAACTCTAAATTGAACATATAGTCTGCTCTAGGGTTCTAATGTAAATGAGATGCTCTTCCAAATAATTTGTTTTGCTTTGTGGCTTTTGTCATATGGGTACAATTGTAAACATCTTCATATTACAGAGATTTTTAAAAAGAAATACTGTTAGTTTTGTTTGGGCCCGGATTTAGGTTTTTGTGGAAAATAAATTTATTCCAGGTTTATTTTGGGGAGTTTATCATGCAGTAGCTTGATTCTAAAGCCAGTGGCTGAAGGTGCTGGATTTTTGCAAGCAGTGATGATTTTAAAAAAAGCATTTCATTTTTAATAGTAGCTTTGCTCATGGGTGAGCTGAAGACGCTTTTACTCTGTTCAGCAAGTTTGAACAAATTTCGTCTTTAATAGAGAATATTTTTTGTAATGAAAAATTTCACTAAGGGATGTATGTAGAGCAGTCTTGGAGCCTTTGGAAAGCGTGAGAGGGAACTGTGCCTTTCTCCTTTGAGATTAGCTCAGAAGATCAGTTCTATAAAGTGATTTCCTTTCTTCACAAAATTGGCATAACTACATTTTCTAAAAGAATTTGATGGTACAACTCAAGGATTTGTGCTTTTCTCCCAAGTTCAAACAAGACAGCAGTCCAGTCAGAAGGGCAGGTGACTAGAATTCGAAAGATTCATTGTTACCACAGAAACTTGCCAGCTATACCAGGATGCTGATCTGCTCTTATTTGTTTCCATCTGTATAATGGGAATAGTATTGCCATTTTTATGAGGCACTTCAAATGTTGTGTCTGCAAATTGTTAAGCTAGTTGATGGCTTCATTCTATTGCCCAAGCTGAGTGATATGCAAAAAGCTTTCCATAATGCATGGTAAACTAGGTTTTAAGATGGTCCATGTTAACATGTCAGAAACAAGGATTTTAATCCTGTATTCCACTAGATCAGCAGTTCCCAACCTCAGGTAGCAACCCAAATGAGGGTTGCTGGGGCAGTGCCAGTGGTGCCGCATCTACAGGACAAGCTGCGCCATCTGCTGGTAGCTCCCCCGCCCTTGGGCCCCACACTCCGCTCCAAGCAGTGGGTCGCAGCAAAAAAAGGTTGGGAACCACTGCACTAGGTACTAATGTGAGTCCAAAGTGTTTGTGAACCTATTTACTACATTTGGGGAGGTAGCCAAATTTGATCTGACAAGATTTCAAGTCAGTTTGAACTACCCTGCAGCCCAGACTAGATTATGTAGTAGTACAAGTGAATTTACTTAGTGTTGTTTTGCCCTTTCCAGGTGATGCAGATGAAGCTTCACATAGTTGCCCTGATTGCACAGAAAGGAAACTTCTCCAAAACATCAGCACAAATTGTGTTGGATGGTCTTGTGGACAAGATTGGTGATGTAAAATGTGGGAGTAATGCAAAGGAAGCTATGACAGCAATAGCAGAGGCATGTCAGTTGCCGTGGACTGCTGAACAGGTCAGTGAGTCACAGTAGGACTTCAGCACTGGGGGAAGTAGGGAGTGGGGAACACCAGTACCATTCACATGGAAGACTTTTCTTCTTATGCCTGAGATCCAGTTAAGTGTCCTGAATCTAAGTCGGTATTTTATTTCTGTTTTTGGTTTGTCGTAGCCTGTTAGAGGGATAAAGATGCAAATTTTCCCTTCTGTTCTAGGTTATGGCCATGGCTTTCTCACAGAAGAATCCTAAAAACCAGTCAGAAACCCTGAACTGGCTCTCAAATGCAATTAAAGAGTTTGGCTTTTCTGGGTAAGTCTTGAAATAGTGAACAGAAATTTGAATTCAAGTTTTTAGGGTGGAAACATCTATGAAGACATAGGATCTTAGTTTGGTGTGAAACTTTTTCTTTCATCTGCTGCCATAAGTGCATGTAGTAAGCTGCTGTTTCTGTAGCCCAAATACAAGCACTGTTGGCTGTGGGAAGGATCATGTTTCATGTACGTAAGTGCATCACTCCCTAACAACAAAAGAAGAATATTGAACTATTATTTTAATAGCTGCCTAAAGTGTGCTAGACACTGTATACAGATATACATCCCTGCCCCAGAGATCTTGCAAACTGAAGTGTGAGATATGGCATGGGTGGTAAGGACAAGATTAACAAGAGTGGATACATGTGCGTCTTGGTACTTAAAGTTGTTATATCTTTCTATAGAAGAAAGACATGAGAGAATGTCTTCCTTCATGCTTATAGGTGTTGTGTTTTTTAATTTTGTTTTTGTTTTGTTTTGTCACAGTTTTCAGGAGCGATGGTGGTAGGATGAGAAGGTGGTGGGGGTGTTAGCTTGGTCAATATGAAGAAAAGAGGCAGCACTTAGCTCCTCACCAGAGCCTGCAATTATCTTGCTTACGTCTTCTCACGGTGGCATCCTTCAAAAGCTGTCAAAGTACTCGAGGGTTCCCTGACACCCTAGTTGAGAATCACTATACTACACAAACAAATCAAGAGTGCACCCACTCCTCTTGTCAGGAAGTCATTGATTTCTGGAATTGATGCTGTCAGAATAGGAAATGCCAGTGGGCCCTGACTTCTGGGAGTTGGTACTCTAGGCTGCTTTAGTCTGCAGTCAGTAGCCATCCATGAATGCCCCCTGCACAGATTCCTCATGAAGTGTTATTCCATCACTGAGGATGCCTCATGTTTACTACCAAGGACAAATAATGTTTGAGGCAGCCCAGCCCAGATCAGTGGTTGTTACTTGGTATCTTTCTCCTTTAAGAATTAGACTAGTTGTTGACTTTTTCCACAATTTCCCCCTTCTCATGGTGATTTTAAATAATCAGAAACAAAGCCATAATCATTCTGGTGGCTCTGTACTGGCTGACTTTAGTCTTGGCTTACAGGTGGCTATTCAGTCTTCAGTGCAGTTAGGAATATCTCATGACCAGGGATCCTGGTTTTCTCTGATTTTAAAAACCCCAAGTAAAATTAAAGGCACCCCACAGGCCCCCTGGCCCTGCTGTATGCCCCTCTTTCCTCTCTCCCCACCCCAATAACCATCCAGCCTTACTGGTGACCCTCAGTCTCCTCACAGCCCCGTGGCCCTGCAGGAGAAGGTCCCCAGCTGCCAGTGCTATGGACCGAAGCCCCCTGTCCCTGCTCCCACCTGGTGCCTGCTGCGGGCTCAGGCAGGGTAGGGGGAGGACCGGCTCCCCACCACTGCGTGCACCCCCAAGGGCCAGGGGGGACTTACCCCCCCCAGATCTGTATGCAGGGCAGGTGCAGGCTCCCCCCTGCTTTC